GCCAGCAAATCACGTAATGGTAGCAGAGTGAGAAAGCCACGCTCTCGACACTCATCGGAGCGTCGTCAGCATCGTTCTGCCAGTCGACACGCTGCTAGCCGAACTGCCGCAGAGAAGAATGACCCTGCTCTTCGGGGGCGCAGCATCGATAGGCAAAGCTCAGGGGAAAGATCACCGTCTGCCCCATTACCCGTATCTCAAGCGGAGGATGCCTTGAGGCTGGTCGCTAGTGATAGAGAAAGATTGCGGGGTCACCAACGCAGCAGCAGCCGACGTCCTGACAAGGGCGGGTCGAGAAGGGACGCGTCTCCCGAGAGCAGACATTCGCGAGCACCGTCTCGCAATCGTCAAGGCCAGGATACGAACATGAACACGACCACCGAACAGCCGACGAGCGGATTGATGACGAGCGATATTGCGCAGACCGATGCATATTTACAAGAGAGAACCCGTGAAATGGAAGAAGTGCAGATGCAAGCTCGAAATGCGAGCGCTGCAATCTTGCCACCTACAGCACTATCAGAACAGAGACGAAAGGAGCTCGCAGCTGCCGAACTGGAGGCCCGGCGGCTTTCACTTGCGCGCAACCCTTCAGCGCCAAATATACCGTTTCCTGGAGAGCTGCAGTACAGCCGAAGCCCCCTAGGCAGCCCACCGCTGTCCAGAAGCTCTGCCAACCAGCGTACGCCGGCGAGAAGGAGAGCGTCGACCAGCAAGGCCTCGCCAGACTATCCCAGCAGCTCCGATTCGAATTCGTCGAGGTCAGGAGGACCTCTTGGTCTGCCGGCGACTCCGAAAGCCATGCGTCACCCGAAATATCCCAACGGCTATGAAGAGACCGTATCCTCTGGATCTAGTGTCCCAGACAACGTTATAACCCTGAGTGATGCCAGGTACCAAGGCGAAGCCGAGAGAATCGGCCGTTCAATGTCTGTTCCAGTACCGGAGCATCAACCGGGTCCCATGCCCGTCGACCTACCAACCCATCCGAGGTTCAACCCCCGCCTCCCGCGAAGCAGATCGACCAGCAGGAGCCGGAACATCGGTCACCGGCGAGAAAGTTCTCGAGAGCTGGGAGGTTCCGGTAGCTATCCTTACGGCTCTTCTCCAGTCACCGTCAGTATCGAGGAGACGATCGAAAATTCAATGGGCCTGAAGGAGTTTGAGAATCCTCCAATCCTGCCAGAGCTGCAGCATCTGAACACTCCGCCGCCTCCTCCGCCTCCTGCTCCCCTTGGACCTGTCTCTCCACGCGCATCCTCCGGAACTATAGACATTGCCATTGACAACGAGAACCTGGGCAGATTGCTCCCTCGAGCTATGACAGCAGCTCCGGCAATCAGTACGGAAACGCGGCCTAGCATCGAGCGCCGGCGCACGTCATTTGACCATCGACGAGGCAAGAGCGTCAACGAAAGCTTCACGAACAAGATCCGGAATCTAACGCGCATGCGCAGCAACAGCCGCGGACTAGACAATTGGACATCTTCCCGTGAGACGGGTGTCCCTTATGAAAGTGTACAAATGTCGGACGGCCGGATATAACCCAGTCATTTCTTTGACTTGTCATATTTTGCCTGCTGACTCCTATACCATGATTTGCTTTATATCTCATTGGACCTATAATTCTTATGACTGATAACCTTTTCGATTATGCCCGTTAATTAAACTTCGCCCCCAATATCTCCAATCCGCGATGACCGAGCCTGTTCTCATATCTCTAGTGATGATTCAATCGTTATACCCTTGCCTCTGTTTCACCTGATAGTTTCCATGGTCACTTGGGTTACCTTGAGAGATTCAAGACTCTCTGCCTGGTTCCATGACGTGCTCTAAAGGCTTTCCGATTTTCTGAGACTGTACTCGCCCGCAAGGGCAAAGGAAAAGTTAACATCCTACTGTCTTATTCAAGCGAATCGCTGCAAATTCCCTTGAAACGTAGATCGATCTGTATCAATCTAGGTGTGAGCCGAGCGACCTCAGAAAGTTGAAGACGGCGTGATTCACGGCTAGACGAGGAAAAGCCAGGGCATAGTAGGAAAAGAGTAGTAAAATGTAACTCTGCTCATGTGGAATGTTATGGTACATGTTAAGCTCGTAATGCGTTGCGAGAGGTCAGTTCCATCTTCCCCATCCCTTCTTCTCTCTCCCCTCGGAGTCACCGGCCATGTTTCTCTCGGCCTCCAACAAGCGGTCAAATTCAGCCTGAGCCTGTTCGCGCTGTCGCCTCTCACTGTCTGGGGTTGAAGACCCCCCGCTCCATGCTGAGCCTGGACCACTATCCTGTTCGCGCTGTTGCCTCTCATTGACGGACCGAGTCCACGCCGACCCTAGCCCGCTATCCTGTCCGCCCTGCGAGCCGGAGCCGGAGCTGGCCTGCTGTCTGATGCGATCCCAGGCGCTTCCTTGCGAGTCGCCACCTGATCGATACTCCGCAGCAACGGGGCTCGCATCGTCGCTTTCGAAGAAGTCCGTAGCCTTGTTCTGATCAACAGAGGTAGCACCACGCATCGACTCTGTCGAAGACCTATCACCGTACAAGCGTCCCAGATTCCGATCCGGCAGATTAGCAGGCTTATCCGACGACGCCGACGGAACAGACTCCCGCGCAGAGGAAGGAGAGTAAGAGTCCAAAGGCCCATACGCCCCAGCACCCTGGCTATACTCTTGGCTCTCAACATAACCCCCTCCCGCACTGGCACCCTGATCCATCCCCACCTCCACAGGCGGCAATCCCTGCGCGCGCCGCTCCGCCGCCTCCTTGGCCGCTTTGTTTCTCTCCACAACCCTCTGGACCTTCCGCCTGCGCACCTCCTCTGGATCCTTGTCGCGCATCTCCGCAAAGAACTGCTTCAGCCTTGGATCGCCCATCGTCTCCTTCAGATCATGGAACATCCCCCACACACTCGTCACCACCGAACCCGCCGCCACCCAGAAGAACCACCTAAACGATCCCCAAATCATCAACTGTCTGAAATTCGCCGGCTCAATCGTCGAGTACAGCCTCACAGCCGCAAGCACCTGCGCCGGCGACGGCTTCTGTCCCGGTTTCAAGCCAGGGGCAAGGTGCGCGACGACGCCTGAGTTGCGCACGCGCCAGTACGCGTACGCTGTGCCGATGGCGCCGGAGTAGGGCGCGCCGAGGCGCTGGTGGTAGATGTATTTGCTGCCGTGGTAGACGAAGGCGTCGAGCTCTTCCTGCGTGGGGAGCCGGTTGATCATGACTTTGCACGATTCAATGCGGTCGCGGATGTGTGCGCTGTTCTTGTGCAGCCAGCTGCGCTGGCCGAAGAAGCCGAAGTACAGCGTGAATGGGTCGGGGCGGGAAAGGTATTCGGTCTTGAGCACGAGGGGATACCCGGGTATTGGGATGTAGCCGCTGTTGTATGATTCGGAGCCATTTTGAGATGACGCGCTGGAGTTCTCGGACTCGGACTGCGGTGATGTGTCGTTGAGTACCATCTTGGATGGTAGAGCAATGACGGTTTTGGCTCCAATTGGTGTTTCAGAAACTTGGGGATAGCAGTGACGGAGTGTGGAGAAGATCAGAAGGATATTGGGTGATGTTGTGCAGCTTAGTCATCGAGCTATTTCTCCAGCATAAAAGTTACTCTTATTTCTACAAGTAAACAATCTACTCGAACACACTAACACGGTAACATCAAAACGTATCATTCGGGGTTATAACTAAGTCTCCATGAATGATAGATTGCGAATGCGGTAGTAGGTATCTGCTCGGTCAGTCGATCATCATCACCAAACCACAAAAAAACACTAACCAGTTGTTGGACCAGGTGAGCCAGACGATCCCTCCATCTGTAGATTGATGATTCTGGCGGGAGTCAGAGCTGGGCAATATCTCATGCATCGTTACGAACTTACAAATGCAATGGCTTGCCAATATAATCTCTCCCATACTGGGTCGTGATCAACTTGCCATCAAGGTAGAACTTTACCGAGACGTTCTTGCCATCGACATCACGAATCTCCGTCTTGATCTTGTGAAAATTGCCGGGAGAGGGGTAGTTGACATCCAAAGCTTTGACCTCAGACGAGGTCTGTAAAAGCGACTGGTCAGCGCACATCCGATACCATGGCTTCAAGTGCAACTCTCACATTGAAGGTATTGAAGCTGATATCCCCGGTTCCTGCTGCTGTCAGCCATACAGAGTCCCAGCAGTTCGTGTCTCGAGGTGTAGCAAACCCTTCCACTCGGCAAGATCGATCTCAGGAGGCCATGTATTAGCTCTATTGAGCCAGAACGCAGGCCAGGTACCTCTAGCAGTTGGAGCCTGAAACTCGGCTTGGATGTCGAAGCCTGATCCGGCTTTGACGGTGAAGGCCCTTGCTGAGTGAACCGCGCCAGATAGGTAATTTATCTTCCCACCTGACTCGGTAGGCGGCTGGCCGCTAACTGGTTTGGCAACCAGAGTCAGTGTGCCTGAGTTGACGGAAATATACTCGTGGTCGGTCGAGCTGCCGACCATGCGAGCGGAGCCATTATGATCTGAGCCCCAGGGGTAGAGGTAGGCAAAGTACTTTTCCAGAGAAGAGTATGAGTCGAAGCACGTGGAGGGGATCAATGTAGTTGCTGCAGAGGCTAGAGGGAGAAGACTCAGAAGGGTTGAAAACTTCATTTTGGCGCGCTTGAACTCTCTTCAGAAGATGAGCAAGCATGGTGTTATAATTGCGATTGCACAATATTCTTTTATACTGGGCATGGAGTAATCCAGGCATCTCGGGAAAACTTGAAGCAACAACTGAAACAGAATATCCTTCTGAGTGACGATCACCTTCACCAATACCTTCAATGAGATCATTGCCTCGAGAATCAATCTATTTGAAGAAAGTTTCCCCTCCTCATTCCCCCGGAGTTTTACTGAAACAGAGAGATCGGCCCGAAGGTTACAGCGCTACTACTGCGCACCAACTTTACCAGGGAAAGAAAACAATATTCATTATCCATTATCATCAGCTGATATACTCCTTCGACCTCTGCATTACCATTTCTCCACATATGGGCGAAGATCTAGCTCGAACCCAAATGTCGTGCGCGGCTGCGTGTGCAGATGCCAGTAAGACTCTGCAATCTATAGTACCTATCAGTCATTGCCATCAATTCCAAACGAGGAAAAAGCATCTTACAGCGTCTGGATCAAGTTTAGCGTCTTCATGCTCGAATGTCCAAGCCTTCGTTCTGGGAATATCTATGACCCCATCGACAATGACGTGCGAGACGTGAACGCCCTTCGGTCCGAACTCTCGCGCCAGGGATTGAGCCAACGCTCGTAGAGCAAATTTGCCCGTTGCAAAGGCTGCGAAATTCGCAGACCCTTTCACGCTGGCTGTAGCCCCCGTGAAGATTAGTGTTGGTGGATGCTGCAAGCCCTGCGCCTGAAGCAGGAGAGGTAAAGCGCTTTTGGCGAAGTTGAAAGCTCCTTTCCTGTTTTGATTCAGACTTTGGATGAATACATTTGTCTGGGAATAAAACTCACCCTTGGTTCTCAAACCCCTGGGAGAATTCTTCCTCTGTAAGCTCCAGGAAGGGTTTGCGCGTAAATCCACCGGCAGGGTTGAACACGGCTGCCGCAAGAGGGACACCAGCGTACTGCTGGGAGATCTTCTCGAACGCAGACTTGACGCTTGTCGAGTCTGTCACGTCCGTACTGATTCCTAGGGCCTGTCCACCGCTAGAGTTGATCTCTTGCACAAGAGGTTCGAAGTTCGCCGGGTTCCGGCTAAGTACCACCACCGAGTATGCTTTGGCGAAGCGTCTGGCAACGGAAGCGCCCTGTTCATGTTAGCAGATGTGCCTTCCAGTCAAGTAATGGACTTACCGTGCCAGGGCCGACTCCGGCGATGATAGCCAATGCTTTGGTAGCCATATTGTTGATGCCTTGTAAGTTGTCAATCGTTAAATCGTCACTCTCTTTCGTCAACTCAGAAATAACGATAATTCTCCCTTCATTATATCTCCTATTATTGGGATGTCGTGATTTACTTCGGGTATTGTTGATGCCGTGCTTAGAAATACATGTCTATATTGATCAGTAATCGCGATGATATCATCTTTGCTACTGTTTGCAATGCGGCCTCGGATAATGTGTCCATGATGACTCCGCTCCATCATTTAATAGATTTATATGGGGATCTCAATTTCAATGCTAAAATACTTTCCATGTTTCAAAAGAAAGTGGTTTTAAATTGGAGGTAATTCGTAGTGATTCATTGTCCAAGCATGGAAGCAGTATGCCTGAGGCATCCAGGCAATAACTGTTATCGATAAGCTTCCTTCGATCCCCAGAAACTTTTTCCTCATGGGTCGTCTGCGCAGTCTGCCGTCAACATCTTTTCCTATTAGAACGATATCATTAATAATATCATCTATCCTTACTGTCAGTTAATCTTAGCTTCTACATCAACATGTCCAATGCCAACGGCGACTCCCTACTATCCGATCTATGCACAATCTGGTAAGTCAACAACATCCCATCCCATCCCATCGCATCAAACAACCACTAACTAAACTACCACCCTCACAGCCACATCAACCCTCCCAAGTACCGCTGTCCCCGCTGCTCAACCCGAACCTGCTCCCTCCCCTGCTCCCGCCGCCACAAGCTCTGGTCCCAGTGTTCTGGCGTCCGCGACCCAGCCGCCTACCTGAAGCGCAGCGAGCTCGCCACGGAATCCGCCTTCGACCGGGACTTCAACTTCATCACGAAGATCGAGCGGAGTCTCGAGCGCGCGGGGCGAGAGGCGGAGGATAGAGGGATTCCGTTGAATGGGACTACGGCTGCTGATCCGGCGGTGTTGGGTCTGGAGCATGAGCTTGGGCAGGATGGGCCGGATGCCGAGGCTGGGAGGAAGAGGAAGAGGCCTGAGCAGGGGGGCTTTGTGAAGGGTGAAGCTGGGTTTCTGCGCGGGGCGCAGACTGCCGGGGTGAGAGTTATTAGGGCGCCGAAGGGGTTGAGTAGGAATAAGGCGAATGCGTCGAAGTGGAATCCTAAGTATGTCTCTTTTCTATCTGGAGGGGGATGATGTTGATGTCGGTGTACTGACGGTCTCCAGACATAAATGTTTGAGTTGGACGGTTGAATGGATTACTGCGGATGGCAAGAAGGTGACGAGGAACTGCTTGGAATCGTGCAGTCTGGCGGAAGCATACGACCGCATCTACCCACAGCCTAAGGAGAGAGCAGGTGAAATTGTTCGAAAACCAAGGAAAGACGAGCAAACACTTGAAAGCACGGGAGATCAAGAGCAGGAGTCGGAGCCCGCGTCCAGCGAACAGCAAACACAATCAGAAACCGTTGAACCTCCTTCGGCAGCACCAACTGGTCAATCAGCCACGGAGCCAACACCAGACCAACCGTCAGGCTCATCCGAAAGCAAACACGAAATAATCCCCCATCGTGGCGTTAGCTTCTATCTTCATCGTCCGCGGACTGCTACCAAACAGCCAGTCCTCATTCCTTTATCCCCCACCATGACTTTTACCTCTGCTCTGCGAGACCGTTCGGTTCTGGAATTTCCCACAATATACGCTCTTCCCCAGCCTCCAGAGGCATTACACGCCGAAAAAGAAAGCCCAATGTTCCTTTTGGAGGAAGATTTTCTACGGACCCAAGGGCCAGAAACGGATCTGAGCGAAGCCATGTTGCAAGAAGCTTCTGAAGATCAAGTCGATGCTGGCGATTTGGATATCGGGAATATTGACGAAAAGAAAGTACTTGAAGTGTTGAAGCAGGATCTATGGGAACCGGTCGCAGCTGATGGGGCATCACAATAATTAGACTCACACTTGCTTTACGTTGCTGGAAGAGCTTCGAGTTGGATGGACACATTGTGTCTATACGTCCCTGATATAATGTATATTGTCAGCTACATTCTCGCGAACTGGTCAAAAGTGCCAGGGGCACTCTCCCTTCCACTCGTAGTTTACGAGGGCCGACTAGTTGCTTTGGTGCAATGGTATACTGGTAGAGTCATGGCCGACTGCCGAATTACTCAACTCACGGCGCCGACAGAGACCGTTACCCCGGATAGGGTGAGAACAGGATATGAATACGTGAATGTGTCTCGATCCGCTCGGCATCGAGACTAGAGCATCATGGTTAATCAAAGCTTGCCAATATCAATTAACGCAAAATATCAAATGCGCCCAATAACCTCGAGGTATCTAAGTGGTATATACTCCGGTCCAAGAATGAATAAATGTCAAATATAACAAACAAATGGGTATCCTTGCAAAATATAACCGTTCCAGGACGCCTTGCCATGCTTGGTGGTTCTATGCAGCAGCAGCTGGACTAAGTTAAATTAGTCCTGCTAAGTCCTGCTCGACTTGCCGTCGATAATAAGATGACAGAAATGTTATATGTAATATAGCTCGCGGTGAATGTTCACGTTGAGCTCCTGTGACCTCCGTTCAGTTGTAGAGGTGGTCAGTCAGGATTTGAAGGGATTGCTACTCTTCGATGACCGATGCCGTAAGAGTCAAGCTGTGGCGCGTAATTGCCGCGTTCAGCATAATCCCAGTCGAGGAATGCTGTATGGTCACCCATACAAGCCAGAATTGCAGACAATCGGGTCTGTACAAAGTATGAAGCCCTATGATCGACCATGGATCAAGTCACGTGGTCTATCGGGGGCGGAAATCCGTCCAGGCAGCGCCATCAAGTCAATGGAGTTGTAGCATCGGATGCTGTGTCTGGGAGATCATGTTCTTCATTCCTTGTAGATGATGGTGAGACAAGTTCGGTCGCAACGGTGTTCGCCACTGTGCGAACCTCATCTTCCTGAGCCGATTCTGGGGCCTTGCCCTGAAATGAACCTCCCTTGGATTCTGTAGGAGACATATTTAATCGTTCGGATCGGCTTGGTTTGAGTTTGAGACGACCTTGCTCTAGTGCACGAAGAAGGGTACCGACTTCCTCAGACACGATACCTCGAAGCTTGCTCATGGCGTCGTCAGACACGTCGGAGTGGACATTCCAGCCAAGTTTGTCGGATTCTTCCGAGACCAGCGACTTCGATTCCAGTGAGGGCCCAGTGATGAGCCTGTGCAGAGTGGTTGGGGAGACGTTGTTGGGTCGGCGTGGCATCTTGACCGGTTTCTGCTTGGAACTAGAGGAGACGGAAGCCAGATCCTCCTGTTGGCGCTCCCGCTTCGGGGGGCGGGGGATATGAGTGTTCGGCCCTTCACCCACTTCATTCCGAATCTTGTAGTAGACCAGACCCAAAGTTGCGGCGAGAGCTTGGTGTGCGGATTCCGGATACTGACGAACAGCCTCGGCACGCGTCAGATTTGATGGGTATTCACTGGATTCACTAGAATCGCTGTCGCTGCCATATAAGTCTGATTGGTGCATGCGGCCCCAGTACTCAAAACCTCCCAGTTGATAGAATTCGGCGAGTTGTACAAGTCGGTTAACTGCGGATTATGTTAGGTACCATAAGACTCATCTTGAGTACAAATTCACTCACTCCTACTGCGCTTCTTCAAGCACCAGAATCTCCAGACTGTACGAGGGAAGTATTCGGGCCACTGAAGAGATCCATCTTCTTCGATAACCGGAACAGGTGTGATGGGGGCATGCGTGGTGTGAGCAAGGGAGTTGAATCGAACCCGTTCCGAGTGCTTCATGCGAGCCTCAATTAGAGTGAACCGATTGAACACCGCGTTCAGGTGACGCGATGTCTCGTGTTGAAGAGTAATCAGATCGGTACGTAGTTGACTGATAGCAGCATGCAGTTTGCTGATCTCAATGCGGCATCCGCAAACATCAGTCTGAAGCTGTTCCAGGTCGGCCTGTACCTGATCGACATTCTTCTGGAGACGGTCGACATCACTGCGCAGAAAGACCGTCTCGTTGCCGGCCTGGCCAATGCTAGATTTAAGTTGAAACACGCCCGATTTGAGTTGGTCGACATCCGTCCTCAATGCAACCACGTTCAGATCAATTCGATTCGATATCGAGCGATTTGCTTCGAATTCTCGGCGAATATGCTCGTCTTCGCGGTTACGTCGATCAACATAGCCATCCTTGGTGAGAACTGTCGAGCGTAGCTCAAGCACTCGTGAATCTAGGAGGTTCAAACGGTCGTGGATTTGTGACAAAGAGGGTTCAGATAGAATAGGAGGCGTCACATCATGTCTGACTGAAAGTAGAGGACTGGATATGGGTATTGACATGCTCGATGTACGGGAAAGACTTCGTTCAAGTGTGGCAGTCATGGTGATAGCGAGGATGATGATGACGGTCGGTAGGAGGATTATAATGGATGACAGTAAAAATATGGCCCAAGTTCGAATTCTGCGTCAATATTGTACCATCTGCAGGTGCAGATCGATTTATATGCGAAGGTTATCCATTTTGACGATATTTCGATGATGGTAATGATGGCTAAGTCGTAGGTGATGATGGATGATGATGTGATGGATGGACGGAAGGGCTGAGTGAGGAAGTTGGACGACTCCCTTTCTCGTTCCGGCTGACGCCCCCTCCTTTCATTTTCTTCGGTCGCTTGTTGCGTGGCACAAGCACATATGGCAACTCCTCGCCAACACCGGATCGCCGGACAGCAACCATCAAGACTCGCCATTTCTAACAGTTGGATTTTACCTGCTGACAATTGATATTTTCTCTCAAATAATTCTATTCTATACATTTATCTAGCTTAACAGTCAAAAATCGTTTATCCACTTTCATAACCCTCATCTATCCAAGAATCGACCCAGGAGGAGCGACGAAACTGAAACTGTTGGTAATTACTGGCTTTATGACAATACCGTTTCAGGACAGCCTAACGCCTTGGCCCCTCCCTTGCGTCCAGCTGACTGCCTAGAAGCCAATCATAACTGATGTGCGACTGCCGCCTC